ACAGAAAAAAAAATTGTAATCTTTGTTAATGCTAACTTTCTTTATTTTAATCTCTGATGTCAACATCTATATGTTTAACAGTTAGGATCAGACAGTCTTGGTAGAGAGAGGCAGGTACCATTTGGAATTTCAAACTGTCTACAAAAGAAATACCTAAAACTTGGAACTGTCAAAGGTGCCAAAGAACTGTTTTAAATAACAAAGCTATCAAAGCAGTCAAACCATTTCGAATGCAGAGAAAGTAGGAACTGCAGATGCTGGAGAATCTGAGATAACAAGGTGTAGAACTGGATGAACACAGCAGGCCAAGCAGCATCAGAGGAGCAGAAAAGCTGACGTTTTGGGCCGAGACCAGAAGGGTCTCGGACTGAAATGTCAGCTTTCCTGCTCCTCTAATGCTGCTTGGCCTGCTGTGTTCATCCAGCTCTATACCTTGTTATCCCATTTAGAATGCACGTTTCTTTTCATAGTTGAAAGCAGTGTGTATCATTGACAAGATGCACTGCAGCAACTCGCCAAGGCTGCTTTAATACACCCTAAAAATTTGGAACCTCTGCCATCTGATGGGACAAGGACAGAAGATACATAGGAACACAACCCCTGTAAATTCCCCTCCAAACAACACCCCAATGTGAATCACTTCCTTCTCTGTCACTGAGGGAACATCTTAAAATTCTCTTCATAAAAACATTTGTGGATCTGTCTATGCTCCAGGAACTTGCTATGGTTCAAGAACATTGCTCACCACAAGAACATTGCTCACCATCACATTCTCAACGGCAATTATGGATAGGCAACCATGGTAGAGAACCAGCAACAGCAACATCCCATGATCAAATAAAAATAAACCTCAACAAAACAACTTGTGCACATGCTGATCATGTTCAACATACCCGAGATTGCAAGCCTCAAAAGCACTGAATGTTATTCTGCTGTTGGGAATCATTTATTAAGTAATCCAGACTATGCTAAGAGTTATGTTGGACACCCATTGGCTGGATTCACAGAGTGTGTACTGGTGCATGCTGGAACTTATGTACATAAATATACAAGATCCTGTTTATGTAGGCAAAAGGAAAATGTATATTCATTGCAACTTTTTAAAAAAAAATGGGTCTAACCTCTGCTGCACCCCATGGTTTTACCCTGCTCGATCAGCATCTACCTGTCTGGACAGAGAGTAAAGTTTGGTGATGACCTGTTCTTGCTGCATCACCATGTTAATTATAGTGCAACAAGTCAGCGTGCTCAACTCATCTGTAATAAAGCAGTTCCTCCAGTTTTACATCTGTTTCTTGCACCCTCACTTTGATCAATGTGGTGCAAGGAGCTTCAACTTCTCATCTCTTTTTAGCAATGGTTACATTTTTATAATCCATCAATATGTGTGTTTCTAACAGCATGGTCAAGAAAGAAGCAGGTAACTGGAAAATTGACTGTGTGGTTGATAGGTATAGATTGCAGGAAGCTAGTGTAATCTTCCCAACTGATGTAATTGCTGGATGTCAGATTCCAGACCAAAACCTGATTTAATAAGGCCATACGAAATAGGAACAGGAGTAGACTATTCGGCCCCTCAAACCTACTCCAGCATTCAATAGGATCGTGGCTGATCTGATATTGCCCATGTCCACTTTTTTGCCCTTTCCCCATAACCCTTGATTCCCCAACTGATCAAAAACTATCCATTTCAGCCTTAAATATACACAAGGACACCAACCCCATAGATCTCTATGATAAAGAGTTACAAAGACTCACAAGCCTCTGAGAAAAGAAATTCCTCCTCATCTTGGTCTTAAATTGGTGTCCCTTTATTCTGAGACTATGCCTTCTGCCCTCTTCCATGAGGGAAATGTCCTCTCAACATTTACCCTGTCAAGCCCCTTAAGAATCCAACATGTTTCAATGAGATCACAATGAGCAGAGTCCCAACCTGTTTAGCCTTTGCTCATAAGACAATTGCTTCACATTGGAGATCATCCTGTGAACCTTCACTGAACTGCCTCCCATAAAATGAGAGCTATCTTTAAATAAGGGACTAAAACTGCTTACAGTGCTCCAGATGTGGTCTCACTAGCACCTTGTACAGTTGCAGTAAGAATTCCCTACTCTTACACTCCAACCCCCCTGAAATAAGGGCCAACATTCCATTAACCTTTCTGTTTACCTGCTGCACTCTGTGTGCTAGCTTTCCGGGTTTCATGCACAAGTCACCCCCTGTTGCAGTTTTCTGTAGTTTCTCTCCATTAAATAATATTCTGTTCTTTTGTTCTCCCTTCCAAAATGAAAACCTTCACATTTTCCCACATTCTACTTCATTTATCAACTCTTTGCCCACTAACTTAACCTATCAATGTCTGTCTGTAAGCTCTTTGAATCTACTCTGAACTTGCCTATAATATACCTTGCATTGAAATAAACCACCTCAGCCCCTGATTTACCTGACTCTGCCTGTCCTTCCTTTCTGACTTACTGCTCTAGTTCCCAGCCCCTGCCACTCTAATTTAGACTCTCCCCAGTAGCACTAGTGAGCCTCCCTGTGAGGATATTGGTTCCCCTCCATTTTAGGTCCAACCCATCCCTCTTGTACAGGTCACCCCTGCCCCAGAAGAGGTCCCAATGGTCCAAGAATCTGAAACCCTGCCCCCTGCATCAGCTCCTTAGCCACACATTCATCTGACCTACCTTTCTATTCAATGCCTCATTGGCACGTGACACTGGTCGTTACCCAGAGATTACTACACTCGAGGTTCTCTTTTTCAGCCTGTTTCCTAACTGCCTGTACTCACTCCGCAGGACCCCATCCCTCTTTCTACCAATGTCATTGGTACCAATGTGCACAACGACCTGTGGCTGCTCACCCCCAAAACACCCTCCCACCCTAAGAAATTCTTGCAACTGCTCAGATACGTCCTTGACCCTGGCACCAGGGAGGCAATACACCATCCTGGAAGCTTAAACACGGCCACAGGAAGCCTGCCTGTGGCCCTGACTAGTGAGTTTCCTACCGCTATCGCTCGTTTGGACTTTGCCCAATCCTGCTCTATAGCAGAGCCAGTTGCAACACAGACCTGCCTGCTGCTGTTATATTCCCCTGAGAGGCTGTGCTCCCCAAAAATATCCAAAACAGAATACCTGTTAGAGAAGGGAATATCCACAGGAGACCCCTGCATTACCTTCTTGCCTCTCCTGGTGGTTACCCACCTACCTGTCTGAACCTGTGATGTGAGCACCTCCCTGTAACTCGTGTCTATCACATCTCTGCCCCCTGTACGCTCCTCAATGTGTCCAACTGCTGCTCCAACTGAACCATGCGGTCTGTGAGGAGTTGCAGCTGGTCACACTTCCTGCAGATATAGTCATCAAGAACAGTAGACTGCTCCCTGAACTCCCACATCAGGCAGGAGGAGCACACCGCTGCCCTAACTGCCATCTCTGCCCCTTTACACTAAGAAAGATAAAAGAATCTTACTTTGCCTTTACCTTGCTCACTGAAGTGACTCCTCTTAGAAATGTATCTCTTCCCTGGAATATGTCTCTGCTGTGAGCCACGAACAAATTTCTTAAATGTCTACTATTGCTCCTCAGCCATCTTTGCTGCTAATCATCTTTCCCAGTTCATTCCAGCAGCTCTGCCCTCATTCCATTGATAAATAACCTTCGGTGACCTGAGCACATTTGTTTAAAACCCAGATTTTTCATTCCCAAACTGAACTTTTTTTAACTTAATCA